ATCTTTGCAATCATATCATTCCTTGTGTATGTCTCAATTTTCTTCCACTAAGATGGTGCACTTAACATTTTTCATTCCTCTAGTGTTTAAAACCCACTAATACGATGACCTTATGCAGGGGATGCATGCACTAGCGATGTTGTCATGTTTGAACAAAATGTTTATGAAATGTAAGCTTTTGTTTTTATTTGTGTTTTATTTTTACAGTTAGATGATTAAAGTAGTTATTACCTCTAATTTTGATGTTTGCAGCCGTGTACTACGTGTATTATTGCATATTACATTCAATGTCTTTGCTAGTTGATTAAAAAGCGCTTGGTTTATTTTCTTTATGATTCTCATGGAAACCGGAAATTAGGATCACAAGTACTGCTAACCCCCTCCCCAAATTTGTACCCTGGACTTTGACGTTCTAGTGTTAATGTTCTTTTATCTTTGTAGATTTGACATAGCGTCCAGGAGTGGAAGAGGCCCTCCATGTGGCACAAGGATTGTTGCAGGCCGAATTGTTAAAGAAAGCTATGGCGCTGCTAAACAGCAGCACACATTTACAGTGAGTCCAAGAATCTTATGATTTTTATCAAAGAATAGAAGTGTTAAAAAGAATTGCGCTGCATTTTAAACTTCCATTTAGATTGATATAACAATTGAAGTGGCTGTAAATTACCAATCAGCAGATTTAGCTGATTTTAGATGGAAAGCTATCACTCAACGAGCAAGTTAAGTCTTCATATTATTGCAGTTGCTAAAATTGCTGCTCTTGGCTATTCTGACCAGATTGAAGTACTCTGGAGCAAGGGGGAGAAACCACTCCCTCCACTTCATCCCCTTCTAATTAAGGGTCGGAATCTTTACAGGTTGAAAACTTTGAGACAGGTCTGTGCAAAGTAACTTTTGTTCCTTTGTCATCATTTGAGAATCTTTTTTATGGTAATTAATTCTATTCGTCAACTTTAGAGATGGGAAGATGAAGGGGAGAGGCAGAAAGTTTTGATGGAAAAGCACTCAAGAGGATCTCTTGCTAGGACTGCTAAAGAAGCACGGGTCCAAGAGAAGGAAATGAGAAAAATGCTCAAGAGAAATAGGTATTGGATATGATTGCAATGGAAACTAGTTGTTTATATCTAGCTAGTTAGTCTGCTAATGCTCATAGCAATTTCAGTTATTTTATTTTTTCATGACAAGCTTAAGCCTTCTGTACTTCAGGGTTTCAAGAAAGGAGGAACTGAAAAAGAACCAGTCTCGGTTTAACTCAACCTCGGTGCTCAAAACATCAGTTCAACCTCAACAATCTGGTTCACTTGTTAACTCAGCAAACCTACATCAACTAGTTGGTATATCAGTTCATTCAGGAAATACGAAAGTGTGTGCTCAGCAATTGGGATTGTTTACTGATTTATCAAGAGACCCTTCATTAAAACCAGCAACTCAAATTCACCAATCAGGGTTTGTTGTCTATTCACAAAATCCAGCAACTCAACCTCCAGCTCCGAAGTCCGGCTTTTTTGTTGATTCCGGAAAGGTGACAATTCAACCTCAACTGACAAAGAATACTACAATGCAAGGTGGGTATTTCAACCAAGCTTCTCAGAAATTGAATGAGAGTAGGAATTCAAACAACACAGAAAGAGTGTACAATAAAAGACAGCCATTGACAAGTGTGAACCACTTTCTTCCGACGAGTCCACGAGGCCAAAAGCAGATGTGCCAATATTATGCTCAGGGTAGATGTTATTATGGAGACAACTGCAAATTTTCTCATGAAATGAGAGGGAATTACAATGAAAGGAGGGAAGAGAGGTGGCCTCATGAGCAAAGGAACTTGTGTCATTATGGAGACAGCAGCAAATTTTCTCATGAAATGAGAGGGAATTACAATGAAAGGAGGGAAGAGAGGTGGCCTCATGAGCAAAGGAACTTGTGTCATTATGGAGACAACCGCAAATTTTCTTATGGAATGAGAGAGAACTACAGTCAAAGGAGTGAAAAGAGGTGGTCTCTTGGTCAAAGGAGGTCCTAGGTGGGAATGCTCAAGTTATATTAGTGGAGAAACCTAGTGATTGAACATGTTTTTGATATTGTTTTGTTATTTGTGACAAGTGAACAATTTTTTAATGAAGCTCACATGTACCCCACAAATTTCTGCCACACGGTTTTATATAATCTCTTGGCATGTTTACTAATCCGTAATGGGAATCAAAATAAGGAGTTGAATTTCTATTATAGATTACTCCCGTGTTTACTTCACATATAAGAATGGAAAAGTAAGTGGGGGCTCACACAAAATCAGGAGTAAATTGGACTTAGGTGGGAGGTGGTATTCTAATTCGTAGAAAACTAGCCCATCATTAATCCATCTTTTTTACACATTAAATCCTCATACAAATTTTAAAATTCTCAATTTGCTATCCACTTTAACCCAATAATTTATTTACAACAAATGCATTTTAGTAATCAAACTAGTTTCAATTCCGATTCATGAGAATTTAGTAAACAACTTATAAGGAATCGATGCTATTCCTACCCCGATTCCACATAGTTTAGTAAACAACTTTAATAAGAATTCACATTTCAACTCCTCCTCAATTCAATTCCTCTTAACCCGATTAGGGATTAGTAAACATGCCAAATGAATCTCTCAATCAGTTCAGTCAGTCTCAGCCTTAAAATTGGGAAATGAAACTTGTAGAGAGGCTGAAATAAGCAAATCAACATATGCCGAAACAGAAAAAGGTCTATTTGCACACGCTCAAATAGCTTCTTTCACAAGTGTAGATAACATTTAAAATTCCTTAAATTACCCCAACTTAAACAAAAATGCTGCTACAATCCAATTTAATAAAATAAGTATGAAGTACAAGTAGTTCATTGAATACTTAACAAATTTGAAAATTAAAATTAAAAACACTCTTAACGATATTATCCCACTATTATCAATTATTATAAGTTTAGGGTTGTTTGATAACTATTTCAATTTTAATTTTTAGTTTTTATTCTTTGTGCTAAAGTATAGAGGAAAATGAGAGTGAGAATGGGAGTGATGATGAGATTAAGAGGGAGGATGAGAGCTGCCATGATTATAGGGTAAAAATGCAAAGGACTCGTAGCTTAAGTGATAAGAACATTTACTCATGCACCTCAGCTCAGGTCCTAATATTGATTCTCCCCTCCGTTTGTATTTTAAAAAAATAGAAAAAATAGAAAAAATAGAAACAACTTGCCAGAAAATGACTTGCTCACAACCAGTCATGCAATGAGTAAATTAATGTCTAAATCAGTCAGCCTTGATAATTCTCTGATATCTTCCTCTTTCTCGGGCCCCACATAAAGAAACAAAAGTAATAATTTTTCCTAGAAACAGTCCAGTACGATTGTCTATTTCTCTGCAGTTCTTCAGGACAACAAAATTTTGGGTTTTCCAAGTCTCAAGTCACAGGTGTGTAGCTTACTTTTTGGTTTAAGATCAGCTTATTTGATTACCATGTGAGCTTGAATGCACATAGTTTTAGTGGATCAACACGCTTTCTTTCTGATGGTTTTGATTCAAAGCTTTTGAAGCAGTTCTTAGTTGTTTTAGTGCTAATTGTGAAGTAAGTTTTTTGGATAGCAAAACACATAATTCAGTAGTTGGTGAATATTTGATAAACACAAATTGTTTGAGATTATAGAGGCCCCGTGCCATAACTTTTGCCTTTATTTCCTTCTGAAATGTCCATTATAAAATTGCAATGGATGTTCATCCAGTTCTGTAGATTCTAATTAAAATCTATAGCTCTTTCCTTGTAGTTTCCAATGTGTACATCGTATCATCTAGGATGGATTGTTCGAAACTCGAAAGCTATGATTGATCAATGTGTATGTTCCCAGGATAAATGGCCTCCGAACCTGTCAATGTGAATGAGCTCCGAGAATCGGCTAGGCAAGTTCTTCCAAAAATGTACTATGATTTCTTTACTGCGGAGCTGAGGACCAGCACACGCTAAAGCAGAATGTTGATGCATTTCGCAGAATCATGTAACGTTTAAACCTGCTGACGAATACCGTCAAATACAATATATTTGCTTAAGTGATTCCTATGTATTTCTTTCAGGTTGCAGCCTAGAGTTCTTGTAGATGTTAGCAGAATAGATATGTCAACTACAGCTATAATGATTGTTCCTACAGCTAGGCATCAGTTATAATGATTGTTCCTACAGCTATAATGATGTTAGCAGAATAGATATTGGGTTACAAAATCTCAGCACCTATAATGATTGTCCTACAGCTAGGCATCAGTTAGCCCACCCCGAAGGTCTAAATCGTATTTGAAGAGTGCTCAGTTGAGATTTGCTTTCAGACACTGCTAGTTTTAACCTGCTCTTTATATTTAATTTGGAAACAAATGTCATATTTCCGCTAATAGCTGGTGAATAATAAGTAGAATGGATTATGGAAAACCTAAATAACCTAATTTACTCAGAAGCAGTGATGCGCAGCATCCCACTTTCTAGGCTTAACAAGTTAAACATTTTAAATTACAAATAGAACACGATATTATGAGAAAATAATAGATAATAGGGTTATTCGCAGCAATGGTCCCTCAACTATACCCATAGTTACACTTTGGTCCATCAATTCAATTATTAGTTGCGGGGGTCACTCAACTCTATGTTCCGTTACACCAGTAGTCCTTCCGTCAAGTCTGTTAGTTTTTTCCGTTTAAAATGATGACGTGGCAAGCATCTATGAGAATCTCATAGATTCTTGAGGGGCAAATCTGACTTTTCAATTAGCCTTTATCACCTCTTCCACACCTAGTTCTCACCAAATCATCTCCATGGTAGAATTATCAAAGCTAATCTCCCAACACCAACCCAACTTGCCCATAACAATTCTACTCACAACTTCCACACCTTCTGAAACCTCCGCCACATCCTCCTCTTACATCAACCTCATCTCATCTGATCCAAACCAAACCAACCCCAATCTCCCAATCTCCTTCTTCAATCTCTCAATCCAAAATGGCCATAACTGAATTCACTGTAAAGTGGGTTCCGTCTGGAAAGACTAGATATTGGGCTGAATTTAGAGTTGGTTTGCAACAAAGGCAAGTACTTGGATAACTTCAGGGTCTTCGAAGCACTTCTAAGAAAACCCATTTGAGGGTTTAACGAGCTGTTGAGCAAAGACGAGTATGCACTGCGGCGAAGCTAAAATTCAGAATTTTCGGTAACAGAAGCTGTTCGTCTTCCAAAATCACAGGGAATTATAACAAATACCTTCCAAGCACTCGAGCCATCTGCAATCAAAGCCATAAGCGATGGTTCTTGCGTTCCAAATCATCAAACCCCACCAATATTCCACATCGGGCCGTTTTCTATGGGGACTTTTGCAGAGCAACACGCCTTCCATTTCCCTTGCATAGCTGCTCATGTGCGCAGCCACAGGGACGGAGCCAGCTAAGGCTCACTGGGTGCAGATGCCCCCATTCATCCGCTTGAAACCATGAACCCAAACCCATCAAATTGATAACAAAATTCATTCACACTCCCCAAACCATATCTCTGCCAAACCCACTCAAATTGTTTTCTTTAGTTTCCCTTGTTATTATGGTACCAGACCAGAGCCAGAGGCTGCTAGGACGATACCTCATGATTCTTGCTCACCCAGAGCCCAGGGAAGTGGAGAAGAAGATAATAGTGGAGGCCTTCTCACCCAGAGCCTCATTGAAGCCATTGTACGACTACGAGACTATTTTTCTCTCCCACATCTCGGATCATCCCTATACCAGAAGCCGACGATGAAGACGAAGACGAAGACGCCACAAACCCATTCCCTGAAACGACGACGTCGAGGAGTTCTAGGCCCGTGTCTTTTTTAGGTTTTAAAATATTTTTAGGAAAGCATCATGAATTTCCGAATTTACCCTCACTTTTGACAGAAAAAGTCACAGACTTGACGGAAGGACTACTGGTGCAACGGAACACAGCGTTGAGTGACCCCCGCAACTAATAATTGAATTGATGGACCAAAGTGTAACTATGGGTATAGTTGAGGGACCATTGCTGCGAATAACCCTAGATAATACAAACTTACAATGAGTAAAATCTGTATAAATCATGCATCTTCATTGTGTATTCCCAAAAACAAAAAGAAAGAAAAAATTAGCCTTAGAGTAAAAAGATCTGTAGCATAGAACATCGAATATATGACTGTGTAATGGGAAGACTCAACTGATTCATACCTCCCAGCACAAAGAAGCATCAAACGTCTCTTTGACAAAAGCTTCCAGTTTCGATCCTTCATCCTGCAGAGTAATTTACTCAGAGGCAGTGATGCGCAGCATCTCACTTTCTAGGCTTAACAAGTTAAACATTTTAAAGTACAAATAGAGCATGATATTATGAGAAAATAATAGATAATACCTATTCATAACTAAACAATTACACTCACAGAGTTTACGTCAGTTGATAAAATGCCTTCAAAGTTCTTCAACTGAGGTGCAACCATTCTGCAGAAGTTGTCACAGTCATGTTTCAAATGAGATGCATAAGATATAGTTCAATCCACCACATGAGAGTGTTAACAAAACAACATTTGATATGATGTTCACATAAAAATTTCTTTCATGGCATAAAGCAAGTTATATCACACTACAAAACCAATAAATTCCATGGCATGGAGAAACAGAACACAAGCAAAATGAGATGACATGAACCTGTTCTTTATGTCTGCCTCTCTTCGACCAAGTGTGGGAGCATCAACAGTTAAGACAATAGCCTGTATCCACTTTTTTCAGCTCTCTGAACTATCTGAGCTGATATACACTACTACAAAAAACGAAATAGACGACAGGGATCCACCGTCGTTGTAATGCTTTGAAATCCGTCGTTAAATCGACCGCTGTCTATTTGGGTGTCAAACTACGACGGCTTTTCACCGTCATTGTTTATCTGTAAAGACGACGATTTTTAAAGAAAATCGTCGTTGTTTAAAGGTAAAGATCATTAATTATAGGATGAAAGACGACGGTTTTAAAAACTGTCGTGTATTGTATGTAAAGATGACGGTTTTTTATGAAAACTGTCATCTTTACTTACAATAGACGACCATTTTTAAAAAAAAACAGTCATCTTTACTTCACAATAGACGACCCTTTTTAAAGAAAACCGTCATCTTTACATATAATAGATGACCCTTTTTAAAAAAAACCGTTATCTTTACATATAATAGACGACCCTTTTTAAAGAAAACCGTCATCTTTACATATAATAGATGACCCTTTTTAAAAAAAACCGTTATCTTTACATATAATAGACGACCCTTTTAAAAAAAAACGTCATCTTTACCTATAATAGACGACCTTTTTTATAAAAACTATCGTTAATTATCTGTAAAGATCATGATTTATTATAAAAACCGTCGTCTAATACGTTCCCAAATTGCTACATTTTAGTTCTT